ATGTGAGATGCCTTACTTTGTTTCCAGAACTTTATTACAAATTTTCTCTCATTAGGCAATTAAAAAGGGGAATATGGAGGAGATTTTAACTCCATTTAATCCCTTCCAAATTTTCCAATTTTTGTACCCAAGTTTACATGATGATATAAGGCCAATGTAGCTTTTCCAATGTCCAGCCTAATCTTTAGTATGGAAGCTGAACAATCAGTATTTAAGATATGCTGCCTTTAATTCTAGATGAAATATAATGTAATATAAGCTACTGGGATCAGCAGCCTTTGATCATTCTTTTCTTGGCAATTTTTTCTGGACTGATAACCCAAATTCATTCAAATCAATTCTCTGATTGCTGTATTTGGTCAATGGAGGTACACAGGGCTACTCTAGAAGCTAAAAACTTTGTGTATATCCAGGAGTGGGATTCTATCAGTTCGCGCCTATTCGCCTATTCGCTAGAACCGGTTGTTAACCGGAGAACTGGTTGTTAGAAGAAATTACTAGCCTAATCCTGTAAGGAAGGCAGGAAGGAAACATTCTGGTGTTGCTTACAGAAACTGCCTCTCCATTCACCCTTATTACATTCTTGGCAGGACTAGACTTCCTGTCTCAGGAACTTCTCTGGAGTTTTTCCCCCCTCCTTTGCTGGTACTTTGCTTGTGTGGAGTGATCGTTCAAAGTTACAATGGCACTGAAAAAAGTGACTTATGACCATTTTTCACACTTACGACTGTTGCAACATCCCCACAGTCATGAGAGACCAGACGAGGAGCTGCATGGCTCGATGTGAGTGATATTGAGTTGGCCACACCCAGCCAATAGCATGACCACCAAGCCATGTCCACCCAGTCACATGACCACCAAGCCACGCCCTTGAACTAAGCCACGCCCACATAACTGGTTTTTAAAAAATTTGAATCCCACCCCTGTGTATATCTATTTGTGTATATAACTTTTTCAAGTACCTTAGGGAGGGGTCTGATCCTATAACTAACCTTTTATATCAGGCATGAGGATCCTCCAGAAGTTACTGTGCTACAGCTCCCAGCATTGTCCCCATCAATGAATACATGAATCAATCAAATCAAACAATCAATCAATCAGAATAGACCTGAAAAGGACCTTGGAGGTCTTCTAGCTCAACCCCTGCTCAAGTAGGAGACCCTATACCATTTCAGACAGGTGGATGTCCAGTCTTTTCTTAACCTCCAGTGATAAAGCACCCAAAACTTCTGAAGGCAAAGCTGTTCCACTGGTTAATTGTTCTCACTGTTGGGAAGTTCCCCTTAATTCCAGGTTGTTTCTCTTCTTGATTAGTTTCCACCCATTGCTTTTTTGCCCCTGGCACATATCAGATGGGCTTCTGGGATTGAGGAATATTAATAACAGAAGGACTTAATTTTTTTTTAAATAAAAGTTTTATTTAAGTTTTCACAAAACATACAAATACAAATAAAATACCTATTTTTGAGACCAGCATGCCTCCGGGTTATCACTTCTTCATACAGACATAAACTCAATACATATTTCTTATACATTCTAATCCATATCTTATAACTATTTTCACAATTTTTTCAATAGCTTTTCCCTTTCTTTACTTCCTATAGCCTTATTTTAAATTATCTTATTCCTTTCTTAATTCAATTATATATCTTTTTCTAATTTTTAAAATCTTTCTAATCAATGTTTTTATACTTTAGTCTGTCCTGTTTACAATTTCATATTATCTTTTCTCATAAAACAAATTTTCCCTTGTAATTACTAGACTGGAGTATAACACTTTTGTATCTTTTTTCAAATCTTGTTTAAAAATTTAAGTTACATCTTTACAGTTATAACATTCATTTTCTAACCTCTATTTTATAACAGATACCTATTTTCAGTCGAATTCTGCTTGGTACATTCCCTTAAAAATATACCACTAAATTCTTAAAAGAAAAAAGTATATATGTATATATATCTGTGTATATATGTATAACAATAGTAAATGGAATAATTATTCTGTTCAAGTACAGCTCTGCCATTAATATTAATAACAATCTTTTACATTTCTATTTCTTTTAACAAACATTACCTAGTAATATCAGTTGTCTTTCACTTTAATCATCTATATTTCATATTTTACTTATTACTATCTTTAAATAAAAAATCAAAACAATAGTTATTAACAGTAGTCAATAAAGTTATTATTCTTATTCAAATTCAACTTGTCAACTGATAAAAATCTTCCATGTTTCTTTTCAGTTTTTTTTAACTTTCTTTTTAAATCATTGAGAGCCTTATTCTCTTTACAAACAAATATTCCACTACACATCAATACAAATTTTTTCTATCACTTTAATCATCTAACATTTTCTAATCCTTTTCTATTTCTAATATACCAATGCTATCTCATGGACCCTTGCAGAATCCTCTCCTTAAGTTAAATTTTAACCATTGTCTCTGTGTCTTTTAAATAGGCTTATACCTTTAATTCTTGTACACTTTTCCTGTACCTCTATATCTTGTTTCTGTCCTTTGTAGCTCCTTTTCCTTTCCCTCTTCCCTCTTTTCTTCTCCCTCCCCTTTTTATTCCCTTTTCTATGTGATTCTCCCTTCTGTGATCCTCCCTTCTGCTTCTTCCTGATATTATGATTACTTTTCAAACTTAATTTTTTAACAGTGAAGCCAAATAGAATTGTATATTTCCATTTCTGTTTCTCTGTTTTAACTGCTATCCTTAGTTCTCCAGGTTCTACTGCCCCTTGGTGTTTATTCTGAAGTATGACAAGCTTCTTCTTTATTAAGCCTGGCATTTATGCACATAAAACTATTGCACTAGAGATGCTGATGGGTTTTGATTCATCCTCCAGTTTATTTTAAGGCTAAATGGAGCCAGAAAAACTCCAATATAGGAAAAGCTTTCATCAGCATGCAAACAAAAAAAAATCTATTTTTTTAACCAGACAGCCCATGATCTATCTTCAGTGAATAGATATGCCTGCTATTCTTTTGCCTTCTGAGTTCAACCCCAGGACGTTTGCTTTTAGAAGAAAAAAAAAATCACTGAAATTCTCAGGGGGGAACTTCAGTGCCCTTCCACTTATTTAATACATACCTGCCTTTTGCCCAGGACAGGCTCCCTGCTGACCAGAGAGATTCTTCAAAGCTAAGCAGACTCAGGCCGGATTAGTATTTAGAAGGGTAGCAATTTCAGGACTGTAGATTAGATTGACATCTCTAAAACTTTGCTAGAAAAAAAGCCATTGAAAGCTGTTTCTACCATTCTGTCAAAGAAACAAGATGGATATCTGTATAGACATCAGGGGTTGAGCTTAATTTGATGGAGGCATTTTTTTAATCCAATAGGCAGTCTTCAATTTACAATCATTTGTTTAGTGACTGAAGTTACAACATCATTGAAAAATGTGACTTATGACTGTTTTTCACACTTATGCTACTGATCCCCATGGTTACCTGATCAAAATACAGATACCTGGCAACTGGGGTGTGATGCTAGTTCGCCTCCTCATGGTGCACCCTGGATAGCATGGTAGTGTGAACCAAACAACTAGCAACAATTGGCAGCCAGAATTGACAGTTAACGACAGTTGGCAGCCAGACATCTTTGTAGAACTCCTGGCTCTCTAAATACATGGCAATGGATAAACCACCCATCACTAGAGAGTTATAAAAACAGCACAAAAAAATATCGGTTGCTCTCTTTCTTCTTTGGAAGAGATTGCGAAGACCAGATTCCTCTCTAGAACACTAAAATTCTCCACAGACCGTTCTCCTCCTGGATATTCATATTTCGAACTGTTACCATTAGGGAGGCATTATGGGTGTCTTAAAATGAGGACTAATACCCTGTTTCTCCAACAATACGAAGTAGGAAGTCCCAATAGGAAGTCCCAGCATGTTTTATAGGCATGAAATGAAATTAAGCCCCTCCCCCCCCAAATTAAGGCCTATATTAAAACATGCGTAATGGGGGGGGAATGGTGGGGGGGGGCTTGCTGTTAGGAAGTACTTTTGTTGCACACCCGGATATGGTGCTGCCTGCGTTGACCCTGATACGAAGTGCCCCACCAACGCCAAGGTCAACATCCAAGCCATTGCCACCCGCCCACCCAAAGATGCAGGGGGGGGGGAATTAAGTCACCCCTGAAAAGACAGCCTAGCCATTTTTTCGGGGCTCAAAAAAAAATAAGACCCGACCTTATTATATGAGAAACACGGTAGATTGAGAAACAGGTTTTTTTCCAAGGCAGTAATTGTCTTGAATTAAACAGTGCATTTGTGATTTATTATTGTTGTTATTGTTATTATTATTATTATTAACTCTGTAGTGTGATTGTGATGTGGTGTTTGGGGCACTGTGCTGGAGTTGCTTTCAAATTTCATTGTATTGATGGAATGCAATGACAATAAAGGTATTCTATTCTATTCTATTCTATATCATCCTGTCCTTGAATGGCTGGGTGGACTGGACATTAACTGAACCACTATAAGCCCATCTATTTGCCATATGCTAAATAAATAAATAAAATGTGGCAACTGACTCATATTTATGATGGTTGCAGTTGTCTCAGGGTCATATGATCTATTTTTGTGACCTGACAAGCAAAGTCAATGAATGGAGAAGTCAGATTCACCTAAAAACTGTGTTACTAACTTAAAAACTGCAATGATTAACAAGTACTGTGGCAAGAAAGGTTGTAAAATTAATAACTGTCTTGCTTAGCAATACAAATTTTGGTTCTATTATGGTCATAAGTTGAGGGGTATTTTATAACATTCTCTTCACTGGTCTGCAGCCTATTTCTATTAAATACCAGGGGAAGATATCATAAACCAAGTTCTCCCTTCACATCTTTTAGTAGTGGTGTTATGGGGATGTTTTCTTTTTTCTAGTTCAAAGAAATCTTCTAGCATATTTTCCATTCATAAATGTGGCAGAAATTTCTGAAAGGCTCTTTCAGCTTGGATGTGAAAAATAAAAACCATTTAGCATCCTTATGTTCTGTAGAACTTTATTTTGATTGTTAAAATACATTGGGGCTTGCCACTTTTTAAAACAAAAGCTAGAAGCAAATAGGAGGAAACAGATCACAAGACATATCACTCCATGGGAATTTCAGCATTAAAAGCTTCCTCAGTATGAGGTTGGGACATTGTCTTGGAAAATGGCTTTGGAAAGTCAACAGGGAGAGGGAGAAAGAAAACCTTTTCCTCTCAGAAACCTGAACTTGATCATCTCTAGTTGAGTCCTGAACCTAAACACTGAGAACATTGGAAGTACATCTTGAAACGTTAGAGCTGAACTTCTGTGAGGCAGGATCTGTGGAAGGTTGGTATTACCTGAGCCCAAAGTAGGCTAGTAATGCCTCATGTTTACCAACACAAATTATGCTATTGTGGTTTCCCAATGACTCCTCTGCTTACAGTCTTCTCTTCAGCCTGAGGGAGTTGTCCAGGGTAGTCAACTGGCGTAGGAAACCCCGATTGGGAATAATACCTCGATGGTCCTTGACGGTCTTTATGGCCTCCACCAAGGTCAAATGGTGATAAATCATGAGGTAGGCAAGGACCAGGGTAGCTGATCTGCTTACCCCCACGGCACAGTGAACAAGGATTCTCCCTATGGGAAGAAGGTCAATTTAAGAAAATGTCCATATCAAACATCACAAAGAAGTCAGGGGCCCAGACATTCAGTGTAAGTCATTTATTTCAGACTTTTGTCAGGTGCCCTGACAAAGAACCTCATAGTATACTATATCTTATTAGCTTTCCAGCCAGTGGTGGGATTCACATTTTTTTACTACCAGTTCTGTGGGCATGGCTTGGTGGGCTTGGCTTGGTGGGCATGGCAGGGGAAGGATACTGTAAAATCTCCATTCCCACCCCACTCCTGGGGGAAGGTTACTGCAAAATCCCATTCCCTCCCCACCCCACTAACCTGTTTTCCAGCTCCATTCTCCTCTTCAGGGCAACCAAAGAAGACCCAGCCGATCAGCTGAGACTCGGGAGGCAGAGAATGGATGGGGGTGGGTCCAATCAGAGGTGGTATTTGCTGGTTCTTCAAACTACTTAAAACTTTCACCACTGGTTCTCCAGGACTGGTCAGAACCTGCTGAATACCACCTCTGGTTTGAACATAATTTGAAATTATTTATTTATTGTAGAAGGAAAGGGATAATCCAGGGGTGGAAAGAGAGGAATCAGCTTGCAGTCTTTATGTTCCCACAAGTGGTCCTAGTCCAACCCTTCTTGAATTAACACTTATCTAGTGCTGAGCATTAATTGACTAAATTCTTGTTATAGGTATGAGCAATAAATCAGCTTAACTGGAACTTAATGTATAGTCCTGATTCTTTGTGCCTGACATTTATTTAATCAATTTACATGGTCACCTAATTCACAAACTGTGACTGTTGGCAGCTTCCATAGAATTGCAAACCAGAAACAAACAAAAACAACACAAATCACAACATATCTCCATCAATCCCATACTACAATCTTTCAATTTCAAATGATTAAAGATGGGATCATTCAATATTCTGGCTTTATATCTGGGAGGAAAAACCAATTCTTCCAGGCCTTACAGAACACCAACAAATTTGAATTACCCACATCTTAGGGTAAGGGTGAGGGATAGGTCATTCCAGGTGTCAAGTACCAAAACAGATGGTACACTTCCTGAATCCCACCAGATGTTTTATAAAGAGGATCCAGAACATGTACATACTGTTAGATCTTGTGGGCTGAGCAAAAGCCTTCTAAACAGACTATTAGCTGTTTAGGCAAGAGCTGAGAATCTAAAAGGATCCCTGAGCTACGTGCCAACTCTGTCTGGGGAGAGTGCAACCTCACTAAGAACTACAGATGGAAAATCCCCAGGTTCAGATAGTCCTTGACTCACAACCAGTTATTTAACAACTATTTGAAATTACAATATCAGTGAAAGCAATGGGGGTCACTTATGATTGGTCCTTACAGCAGCAGTCATGTGATCAAAATTATTGCAGTAGTCATGTGATCAAAATTCTGGTGCTTGGCAACCAACATGTATTTACAACTGTTGCTGTATGTGGGTCATGTGATCACTATTTGTGACCTTCCCAGCCAGCTTCTGACAAGCAAAGTCAATGTGGAAGCCACTTTAGCTTAACAACCACAATTCAGTTAACAACTGCAGTGATTCACTGAACAATCGTGGCAAAATGGTTGTAAAATCGGGTGCAATTGGTTTAAGAACTTCCTTGCTTGGCAATGTAAATTCTGGTTGAGGGCTACCAGTACTCTACATAGACATATTCATCATCAGAGGTCCAGCTTGATTTCAAGAATTCCTTACTTTGTAGTTTGCACTTCATTGTTTAAAACTTTATCACCTCCCCCATGGCTCGGATTTAGCTGTAAAAAGAGCTTAGAAAGCAAAAAGAGAGAGAAGAAAATAAATCTGCTAAATACAAATTGTTATATTTTGGGGAAGCTGCTATAGGTCAAACTCAAACTGGTTATACAACCTGAGAATATGAACTGGATCTCAGCAATGTTGCATTAGAAAGATACTCTATTTTGTAAACAATGGAATATCAATTGATTGTATAGTTTGAATGAGAAACATGCACACATACTGTGTACCTATTCTAGTCATGGGTCAAGTCACACTTTTCTGTGGACTCACCTCCACTCTTGCTCAGGGCTTTGTGGATGAAATCTGCAGCAGGCTGAAAGTAGGGGCTCATATCAAAGGTGGGTGAGTCATGTGCCTCAATGCCCAGGTAGCAGATGCCAGTGCCTTCATAGTAATCTGCGCCTCCCCGCCACTTGTTGTGAGAAGCATTGAGGATGTGGGTGATGTTCAATCGGGCCAGCTCACCTCTATTGGCTGCTATATCTCTACATGGAGGGAATGATAAAGTAAGGGTCATTCACAAATTCTCAATGAAACAAATCACCAGGACCTTACATCCCAGAGTTCTAAAGGAGCTGGCAGAGGTCATCTCAGAACCACTGCTCGACATCTTTCAAAAATCCTGGAGCACCGGGGAACTACCAGAGGACTGGAAAAGAGCTGATGTGGCTCCCATCTTCAAAAAAGGAAAAAAAAAAACAGGAAACTACAGACCAATCAGCCTAACATCAATACTCGGGAAGATACTGGAAAAGATAATTAAAAAACAGATCTGCCAACATCTAGAAATAAGTAAAATAATAACTAGCAGTCAGCATGGGTTTGTTAAAAATAGATCATGCCAAACCAATCTTATCATTTTTCAACATAGTGACCAGCAAAATACTATGGACATAGTATTCTTAGACTTCAGCAAGGCATTCGACAAAGTAGACCACAACTTACTTCTTGGGAAGCTAGAAAAAAGTGAGAAAGATAGAATCACCTCCAGATGAATTTGCAACTGGCTGACAAACAGTACTCGGTGAGTAGTCCTTAATGGGTCTAAGTCTACATGGAAGACAGTAAGCAGTGGGGTGCCACAAGGTTCTGTTTTAGGCCCAGTACTCTTCAATACTCTTCCTCGGTGGCATAGAGGTTAGAGTGCAGTACTGCAAGCTACTCCTACTGCAATTTGGCAGATCGAATCCCACCAGGCTCAAGGTTGACTCAGCCTTCCATCCTTCCGAGGTGGGTAAAATGAGGACCCAGATTGTTGGGGGTAATATGTTGACTCTGTAAATTATTTTGAGAGGGCTGCACTATAAAGTGGTATATAAGTCTAAGTGATATTGCTAATATCTTCATAAATGACTTAGATGAGGGATTAGAAGGGGAATTTACCAAATTTGCAGATTATACTAAACTGATAGGAATAGTAAACACCATAGAAGATAGGCTCAAGATCCAGATGAATCTTGACAGACTTGAACACTGGGCCCTATCTAACAAAATAAATTCAATGTAGAGAAAAGTAAAGTCCTACAATTAGGCAAGAAAAACCAAAAGCACACATATAGATTGGGTGAAAGCAGGCATATTAGCAGTAACTGTGAGAGGGATCTTGGAGTCTTAGTGGACAACCAGCTAAATATAAGCCAGTGGTGTGCAGCGGCAGCCAAAAAAGCCAATGCAATCCTAAATTGCATTGAAATAGGGATACAGTCAAGTGAGGTACTACTACTACTCTATAAAGCCTTAGTAAGACCACACCTAGAGTACTGCATGCAGCTTTGGTCACCACACTATAAAAAGATGTTGAGACTTTACAAAAAGTGCAGAGAAGAACAACCTGGATGGTTAGGGGATTGGAGTCCAAAACAAATGAAGAACTGTTACAGGAACTGGGCATGTCTAGTCTAGTGAAGAGAAGGACCAGGGGAGACATGACAGCAGTGTTCCAATATTTGAGGGGCTACCACAGAGAGGAAGGGGTCAAGCTATTTTCTAAAGCACCTGTAGGCCAGACAAGGAATAATGGATGGAAACTGAACAAGGAGAGATTTAACCTGGAAATTTTCTGACACTGAGAGCAATCAACCAATGGAACAGCTTGCCTTTGGAAGTTGTGGGAGCTTCATCCCTGGAGGCTTTCAAGAAGAGATTGGACTGCCATCTATCAGAAATGGTGCAGGGTCTCCTGCTTGGGTGGGGGGTTGGACTAGATGACCTACAATGTCCCTTCCTACTCTGTTAATCTGTAATCTGATCCTTCTCTTGTTCCCAGAATCATTGCTTCTATCCATTCCTTCTCAAGTTTTTTTTCAATCTGCATTTAGCTGGCCTTTTTTAAAGAATATATGGTGGAGTTTTGCTAAACCAATTCCTAGCAAATGGCAGTTCTGCAGTCAGATTGATGCCTGGGATTGCGGAGGTTCATTTTATTTTGGACCAGTTAACACAGAAGCTCAGAAACAACTGTGCAAAAGATCCTGTCTGATCTTTGATTCCTGCTGCTCTTTATCATTTGTTGGAAAAGCCTTTCAGACTGAGCTACACAGTAACTTTTTTACCCAATTGAATGTTTCCCCAATCTTGTGAGAGTATCTCCTCTGTCCTTGAAGACAGCAAATGAACTTCCTGTGCACCCAGCATCTGTTATGACAATTTTCTCCTCTATCAGTGTCTTTCTTCCTCCAAATTTGTCCTGAGATAACTATAGTAACTAATACTATAACCGCTGATGATAGAATCCTTCTTTTAAATTTTGTTGCATTATATATTTAACAAGTGATTTGTGGCAATATAGTACAGGTAGTCCTTTACCAACATTTATTTAGTGACCAATGTTATGACAGTACTGACATGATTGGTTCTCATACTTACGACAGTCACAGCATCCCCATAATCAAGTGATCAAATTCAGGCACTTGGCAACTAACATGTATATATGATATGATCATCATTTATAAGCTTCTTAGTCAGCTTTATACAACAAAATCATAAGGAAAGCCAGACTCATTTAATGACTGAAGCAAAAAAGAAAGGTAATAAAATCAGATGCAATCACATGGTAACTCACTTAATGACTGCATCAGTTAGAGATGAGATTCTGGTTTCAATTGTGATTGTAAGGTGGGAACTACCTGCAAGTTCTTTCTTTTCTTTCCCCATCTGAATCCTTTCCCTAATCGCCACTATGTTGCCCCTTTACTTCTTCCCCACCTCCTGGAAGTGGCCTGCCTCCAGCACTGGGATCAATACGTACTGATCTCCCAGGTAAAGTCCTGGACAGACCTCATCCACATGGTTACAGGCTGTCTTCCCCGTGTACAGGAGTCTCTCAAGTTCAAAAACACTGAGGATGGGGTGGCTGACGGTGTCATCATGCGTCCTCCAGACAGGAGATCTGGATGTATTCCTGGAGAACCGAGACATGAACGCCATGGGTGCCACTGTGCCCCCTGTTGCATCCCGGGCTGCTACAGGGGGCTGGGCTGGGGCCCAGACAGTATTTCTGCTATGACCACCACCCACGGTTGGTTTCTAATCTGAAAAAGAAAGGAGAACGGTATCAGAAGCATCATCTCCTGAGATTCTCATGAACTTGGACATTTCCTGTATCAGCTGCATTGTAAATGTTGATCCTGATCCTGTAAAGAAAATTTTAAAAAGGCATTTTTAAGAAGATTCCTTCTTAAAGGTATTTATTTTTTTATTATTGATTTATTATGAAATTTATTTGGCACCCATCTCGTATCAAAAACTCTTACAATATAAAACATTAAAAACATTAAAGTCATCAGTTATAAAATAACAAAGTTGATAAAACCAGATAAAATCATTAACACAAGATGGCAAAGGAGGTGCCAGGGGGTGCATGGGGATGGGGTAGGATTAGATTTTAATTAATCAAACACCTCCAGTGTGATGTTCCCCCATTAGGTCACCAAGCCATCTGGCAAATCCAGATCTTAAGGCTCTCACAAAAAGTCAGGAGGATGGGAGCCAGTCTCACCTCAGGGGTTAAGATGTTCCAGTGAGCAGGAGCCATGGCAGAGAAGGCTCGTCTCTGGGACTTCAGCCAAATCAAATTCCTTGGCTGACAGGATCTGCAATCTGCTCCTTTGATTATAGCTGAATCAGCACTAGCATTGTGTGTGTGTGTGTGTGTGTTTGTGTGTGCGTGTGTAGAATATTCTAACAGAGCAGAGGGAGGGAAAATTTCAGGGGCTGCAAGAGAGGCTGTAGCCAGAGGACACTTTAACATACAAGGGATGGGAAGGGATGGTGAGCTCAGAACTAGTCATTTATTGTTAATGGCCTAAAGTCCCTGGGAATGGGTGGCCAAACAATTTAGTAAGTGAACAAACAAATGAATGAATGTTTGGCTAATGGTAGTTCTCACGCAGGGTTCAAGCCCTGAGTTAAAATGTAGGTTCTTTCCACTGAAGAAACCAGCTTCCTTCTACATCATAACTTTACTCAACTTACCTCCTCAACTTACAACCACAATTGAACCCAAAATTTCTGTTGCTAAGTTAGACATTTATTAAATGAGTTTTCCCCCATTTCTTTCTTCCTACATTTGTTAAGTGAATAACTGCAATTAAGTTAGTAACATGACTGTTAAGTGAATCTGGCTTCACCATTGACTTTGCTTGTCTGAAGGTCGCAAAAGGCACTGTAAGGCACTATAAGACACTGTAACCATCATAAATATGACTCAGTTGCCAAGTGAATTTTGATCACATGACCCTGGGGAAATTGCAATGGTCATAATTGTGAAAAATGGTCATAACTCACTTTTTCAGTGCCATTGTAACTTTGAATGGTCATTTAATGAACTGTTGTAAGTTGAGGACTACCTGTAGTTTCTGAATAAGCCCATTTGCAAAATATTATGAATCAAGATCTAACCAAGCATCCAGGCTTATGCAAGCAAACTGTCAGGGTTCCAGAAAATGCCACTCCAATTAAAAACTCAGAGACAGGCATTTTCTCAGTTTCCTTTTATTAGAATAGGTATACTAACATATCTGGGAAATCCTGAATCTGAAAGTTCTGGGTTTCCCTCCAATAAGTAAAAAATTACAAATCCACCCCCTGCCCCCATCATTCCATCACATGCCCCAATCACCATCCATCCCAACTTGAGATGTCCCCTCTACTACAGCCAGGTGATTATGTCTAACCACATACTCTCCATAAAATCCCCTCTCCCATCTTCCCATGCTCAGGAATGTGGCAGCATGGAAGCTTCTAGTGCTAATATGGCTTCAAAAGCTGTCACTAACCAGTCTTCAACTCTTTAAACTTAGCATATTGTGCCAACGTAGTCGCTTGATTTAAAATTATGGGAACACTATTAATGATTTCCTTATACAGATATTGCTTCCATGTAGAAAGCTATGTGTATATGAGAAAATTATTGTTACAGGTGCATGCAGTTAGAACACAAAGTCATCTTAGTGTGCCTTTTCCTATTGTTTTGCAGTTGCTGAAGGAAATTCAGTCCTTGAGTTACATCAGTTCCTCTATTAGGAAAACAAGAGCTAGTACATCAAACTTCATTCCTATGATTGATGGATTGATGGATTTATGGATTTATCAATGGTTCAACTTGGAGCAAAATACATCTTCAGTAAATAACAATTAAATCCTTACAAAAACAATATGATGGAGAAACATTAAAAACAAACTATGAAGACCCAAGGATGAAAAATACTGGGAAACATTCCTAGTCGAACCACAGACAACTACAATGATCTAATACATATCGATTTTACAGAAGACAATGTTGAAAAAGCACTACGCAATCTAAAGCCATCTCTATCTATTGGACCGGAGGGAATATGTGCCTACTTCTTAAAAAAGCTATCCACTGCCATAGCCGAATCTCTAAGCATAATCTTTGAAAAATCTTTCAGGACCAGCTCCTTGCCAAAACTATGGTCACATGCCACGGTCCCCATCTTCAAAAAGGGAGACCCCAGTCTAGTTGAAATTACAGACCAATCTCTTTATGCTGCATCACCTGTAAAGTCATGGAATCAATTATTAACCAATCCATCATCCTCCATTTAGAAACAAACAACCTACTCTCTAATAAACAATTTGGTTTCAGGAAAAAACTATCTGCAACTCTTACACTGCAAAAACATACGGACTACACAACTCGATCAGAGCAAAGCAATAGACACAATCTACATAGACTTCTGTAAAGCCTTTGATTCAGTGGTACATGACAAACTACTCCTAAAACTAAAATCTTATGGTATCTCTGAACACCTGCATAACTGGATAGAAGCATTCCTGTAAAACAGACAACAAATGGTCAAAATTGGGAGCCCTATTCCAGAGAGGCAACACCCAGCCAGGCTTCAGGGGCCCTGTCCAGCCTAGATACGCTGCCTGCCCGGTTCCTTTCATTCTAGTTCAACCTGCAGGTGCCTGGTATGTACCACCTCCCCAACCATGACCCAGGCCGGACCAAATATCATTTAAGGCCGGATTTGATGGTTGCCATGAACATTTCAATTACTTCCTCACTCTAATCCAATCCCATACAGAACAATTTGGGAATCAATACGCCACAGAGCGCGATTTGGTTATGGCCATAACAGATGGGATGAATGAAGGGGATGCTTCAGATGAATGAAGGGGATGCATCAATTACACAACGAACAAGCCCCCCAAATTATACGATGTAAACGGATTTATTCAATGATTAAGACTCAGATTTGAAAATTCAGGCAGGGTGGCAGAGAATGAAAAGAAATTAATGGAAATGAGGCAAGGCAAGAGACCCTTGTCAGAATTCATTTGGGACTTTAGAAGGGTCACAAGCCACTCATGGACTGGCCTGAAAGAATGACTTTACACTATTTTTAAAAAGCCATTGATTCAGAAGTAAAAAAGGCCTGTGAAATTAGGGGAATCCCAGAGACCTTACAATCGTGGTATGTCACATCCCTCAGCTTAGTTTGCAGCATCAGCCCACACAAGAAACCCCTTCCAGCAGCCCTGTCTAAGAGAATTGTGGCTAGGAGGCCATTTACCGGATCAGCTGAACCTGCTCATACCCAACCTACCAGGGTGCTGAAATGTTACCAATGTGGCCAAGACAGCCAAAGAGCAGCAGACTGTCTGGCCCCTGCTCCTGTACCACAAGCTCCACGGTCAAAGTCTAATCCAGCTGTTAGAGGTCAGAAAAACCAAGAAAGATCTCCAGTCAGAGGCGGGTTCACCAAACACAGCTGGGAAAGCCCCCTCTGTGCAGATGGGAGCAATGGACCACCAGACCGCCACCACGTCCCCAAGAACGTGACCTGCGAAGATGACCCAATGGTGAGTGATCCCATCATACCTTTTACAGTCAAGGTCAAGTTAGCGATACCAAACATGGGGGAGGCCAGGGAGTTAGAAGCTGTCATTGATACTGGGTCTTCTAGATGCCTTATCGGACTCCCCATCGTTGAACAATTGGGCATAAAGACTAACCCGCTAAAACAGCCAATCAGATTTGAGCATGTGGATGGAACCTTAATTGGGGGGCAGCCAACCAAATGACAGAATTGATCAAGATGGAATTAGGCCCTCACCCCAAACTCATATGCTTCATAGTGGCCCCCAGGATGTCAGAATCAATCATATTGGGTCTTGCTTGGCTAGACAAATGGGCCCCTACAATCAAATGGGAGGATGGATTCAGGAAAATCCTCATTGGACCGGGCCCATTGCCCCCTCTTCCTCTCACAACAGTCAACTTGAAACCAACCCCTGAGCCAGCATCCACAGCATCCCACCTTCTCCCAGATAACCCCCAATTACCCAACCAATACAAAGACTTGGCTGAAGCATTCAGTGAAGAAGAGTGTAATGTTTTACCTCCCCATCGAGCCACTGATTGCAGCATAGAATTAGAACCCGGGGCAAAACTACCAAAACCAAAGATGTATTCCATGACACCTGCTGAAATGACTTAATTAAGGAAATACATCAACCAAAATTTGGACCAAGGTTTTATTGAACCTGCCAAATCAAGATTAGCTGCCCCCGTGTTGTTCAAAGACGGCGGGTTGAGATTATGTGTAGACTTTTTTGATGCTGTGTACGTCAAAAACATGTACCCTCTCTCCCTCATGAAGCACTTATTGAACCACCTGTCGAAAGGCAAGGTATTCACCAAGCTAGATCTCAGAGAATCTTACTACTGGGTACACACCAAAGAGGGAGATGAGTGGAAAACAGCTTTTAACTGCCCTTTGGGTAGCTTCCAATTCAAAGTCATGCCTTTCAGGCTTCAGAGGGCTCCCGCAGTGTTTATGCAACTCATCAATGAGGTGCTACACCCACACTTTTATCGGCGGGGGGGTCCTCGTATATCTTGATGACAAACTTCCAGCTGCCAAATTATATGTGAAACTCTCAAAATGTGAATTCCACAAACAGTCGCTGGATTATTTAGGCTACTAAATATCCAACCTGGGAATTGAAATGGACCCTGGAAAGATGAAAGCAGTGCTGGACTGGCAACCCCCCAGAACCC